GGGGGCATGACTTCCACTGACGGTGCTCCCAACAAGTAGTGCCTGAATCCAGCACCGGTCTGTGGAGGTCACCAACCAGGTGTTTCTTATCACCAACCCAGAGAGCCCACCTGAGCGTGAAAGAGGAACTTAGACTGTGCATCCGACCTGATGGTGAAGATGCCCTCCGGGTGCCTCCCTAGAGCCTCATGAGGAGCTCTGGAGGAATTTCCAAGATGGCGGGCTCTAAATATGTCATGAGCTGTCCCCACCCTCCCTCTTCCTCGCTCCATCTCAAAGTGGAGAGGCACTGTGACATAATGGTTATGAGCCCTGCATCTGGAGTCAGATGGCTCAAGTTCAAATATAGCCTCCATATTAGCTGTGTCACTTTGGGCAAATAGAGTGATTCCCATCTCCCTTGTACAGGTGACCAACGAGACCTTTAGAGAGAATTCGGAGATTAACATTAGGGTACCCAGTCTATTCAGCACAGTGCCCGGCACAGACATAATAGGTGAAATTTTGCTACAACGGTTCCCAAGTTTTGCTCCACACTAGAATCACCTGGGGGCTCTAAAATAATCTCAAGGGCCAGGTCACATCTTGTAAGATGCGATGGTAAGAGCCAAGCGCTAGTATTTTTTGAAAATCCCAATCCACGGCGAAGTTTGGAAACCACTGATCAGGAGATCAGACTTCAGCGCCTAGTTCCTGCCTTGGGGAGCGCAGCCGCCTGCTTGCATATACTCTCGACCTTTTTATTAGCTCTGGCTTCAAAGCTTTTTCTGCTTAGGTGCGCAAGACCGATTCCGCTGCTCCAATGGTGGCCTTTACCACTTGGCAAATGAAAATACACCGGCAGCCTTCCCTCGCTGCAGTGAGGGCACCCCTCTATGCCCAGGTGCTCCCAAACTTGGGAGGTTGCCTTGACCTTTCCAGGGGCTGTATTCAGTCAAGTCTGGCTGGGCTCCATCACCAGTTCCCCCACTGCTACCGGTCAAGGGGAGCAAGAGAAGTAGCCATTCCCGTGGAAGCCATTCCATCACCCTCACTTCCCATCTGGACAACTCCAAAAACCCATCTGCCTTCCCAGCAGGCCCCATTCCCAGGCACCGGACACAGGGACTCCTCACCCCACTCCCCTTGCTTTAAGTCCCCAGTGGCTTCCCGCTGCCATGAATAAAATTCCTGATCCTGGGGCGTCTGGGGGGCTGGGTCAGTTAAGCATCTGACTTTGGGTCAGGTCGTGATCTCATCTATGGGTTGGAGCCCCATATGTGCTCACAGCTCAGAGCCTGGAGCCTGCTTCTGAATCTCTATCTCCCTCTCTCTCTCTGCCCCCAACCCCCCTCATGCGTTCTCAAAAATAAACATTTTTTAAAAATTAGGGGCGCCTGGGTGGCTTAGTCGGTTGGGCGTCTGACTTTCGCTTAGGTCTTGATCTCGCGGATCGTGGGTTCGGGCCCCGCATCGGGCTCTGTGCTGACTGCCAGCTCAGAGCCTGGAGCCTGTTTCAGTCTGTGACTCCCTCTCTCTCTGACCCTCCCCTGCTCACGCTGTCTCTCTCTCTCTCTCCTAGAAATAAAAATATTTAAAAAAAATAAAAATAAAAATTAAAAAAAATTAAAAAAAATTCCTGATCCTGTCCTGTAAGACTGCTCCCAGCTCCCCTAATCTCCTTATTCTTCCTACTTCTTGAATTCCCAAGCTCTAATGGTACTGGCTTTTAATTCTTCGAGCGCTTTAGCCCCAGGACCTTTGCACATGCACTCTTAACCCCAAACCACCTCTGAAGCTTCCAGCTAGCTTACACACCTGTTGGCCATTCCAACAGGGTTTCTTGTTTTCTGTCTCCCCCCCCCCCCCCCCCACTGATAAGTGTGCCTGGAACCCTATACCTGCTGTTAGATGCTTGCAGTATTAATCTTATAGCATGGACTCTTACCCTGTTTTATGGGTGAGGAAACCAGGGCAAAGAGAGGTTGAGTAGTTTTCCTGAACAGTCACAGAGCTAGTGAAGTGCAGAGCGAGAATCTGAACCAAGAGCCAGAGACCGAGCAGCTTACTCCTGTCCTCATCTCTTGGCCTTCACCGGAGGAACAAAAGCCAGAAAAGCATCCTTGTCTCCAGCTAGGCTGGCTCAGACACAGGGCTGGGGGAGGTCCCCCTTCCCAGGACCCGGTCTGCCCCATGTGTCTACACAGCCTCTCCCTCACCCGAGCCAGGCTATTTCCCTACTCGAAAGGAGCCCTCCAGCCGCTCCCCTGCCCCCTTCCCAGCTGCCTGCTAGGGGTCTCGGAGCAGAACAATTCCACCAATCCATCAGGGGACGTCAGCCGCACCGAGCACTTCGGGGCATAAATCAAACTGCGAGGAGGAAAGGTTTAGGGAAAAGAAAAAAAAAAAAAAAAAAGGTAGCGGAGAGAAAAATCGGGGAAGGGGGTGGGGAGAGCACGATGGAAGGAGGGGGAAGATGAGATCAAAGGCAAAAATTCATCAGAGATAACGGAATTATTTATTTTTCCTGCTCTGGTCTCTGGGCCTTTGAGGCCTCCACACTGATGTATTTGGACATCTTTGGGCCGTCTGTTACCGGACCCCCCCCAGCCCCCCCAAAGACACGTCGCTTCCATCAGCAGCAGCCGCCGCCCCCTCCACGGCTGCCCACGGAGCCTTTTGAAGTGGGTCCTCATGGTGTTTACCCGCCTTCGCGAAAGAAACGTGCGCAGGGTGGCGGCAGCTGGCCCGGGTGGGGCCGGGGAGGAAGGGGTCCCCTCATCACTCACCAGCCTGTTTATTTGGGAGCCGGAGTGGTCCTTTCTCCAGTTATTACTCAACGTCCTCTGCAGGGCAACCCACCCTCATTCCAGAAGGTGAGGCAGGAATAACAAACACACGGCCCGCCGCTAGACGCACCCATCTCGCCTGGGCCCCGCGGCGCACTTGGCTTTCACAGAAGACATGGCGACGAAGGCCCGGAGGATGCCCGGCCGTCCCCAGGAAGCCTGGCCTGAGCACACACCAGGAACCAGGGCACTCACAGACACGCGAGCTCAATCCTCAGAGCCCCCCCTTTTCCTACAATGGCCTCAAAGAACACAGGCAAAGCTCAGTAGAGCTAACACACAGGAAGCCCCGCATCGATGGTGTTCAAACTCTGGCAGTTGGTGTAAGGCTACATGGGATGAGCGTGGTCCCTCCTCCTAAAGTATCTGTCCTAACCACGTCCCGTTTTTAGTTACAGCTTGCGACGTGATCTCGTAATGTTTTAGTGGGACGACAGACCGGCTAAGAAGTGACGGGCCGAGAAGTCAGTGGTCTGAAAGGCTGATGAATGATGGTGCTGCGGAACGCAGTGGTCACGTTCAGAGAGAAAACCCATCTTGCCTCAAGTCATCGGGTCGATTAACTGCGATACTGAACCGGGCATGTGGACGAAGACTAGAGTCGGATGGCTGAGCCTAAAAATCCCAGGGCTGCTGCCTGCCAGCCACGTGCCCCCGAAGCACAGACACCCCGGCTTGCTGGCTCCCTCACCAGCGAGAAGGACAGAAGAGTTCCTTTCTCCCAGAGGTTTTTGTGAAGACTCAATGGGTTTGTCTACTAAATAACATTTATACGACACGACATGCACATCCTCAGTGATCAATAACACACTTGGTTGCTTTAAGTCTCAGGGTAGGCCTAGGAGATGGGTGGGCACTGTCGTCCCCATTTTACAGATGGGAAAGTTGAGGCTCTAGGGTCAGGTTACACAGAACAACACGGCCAGCGCACCCAAGAGCAGCAGAGATACAGAGGGTGAAAATGAAGTCTCCCATCTGGGTCTTCGGAAACTGTGCATAATCGTAATGTGTGGGTGGTTTTGCTTTACACCCCCTGGGGCGGGGCACTTCAGAACGCAGATAAGCAGGCAGAGAGAGGACTCTTCTGGAAGAGGTCTAGGAGACTGTAAAGGCACTTGGGCTGTGCATCGGGGGTGGGGAGGTGGGCTCTGGGATCTCTCTGCTCTCAGAGCGTGGAGGGGAGCCAATCTGGGCTCTTGAATCTCCTGCCAGGAAAGGAATGAAGTCCCACCAGACCCTGGCTCTGGACCTCAGGCGCCTAGAAGAGCCAGGAGATAGCGGTGCTCTCCTGGGAATGCGCAGGTGAACCCAGGCCACCCGTGGGGGTAGAAAGTCTCACGGGGGCTTCTCGTCTTTTGGGGGAAACCTAGAATGTGCTGCAGCAGGCCCCCCCACAGAGACTCTGCAGCGCCCCCAGGAGACCCACGCCATCCTGATTGGCCTTACAAGTCTTGTCCCCAGTACCAGGACAACAGGACCAGCTGGCATTAGGCCAACTGGCTTTAGCACTTAATTGTAATATTTGGCATCTTCACTCTCCCCGGCCCTTAAAGGCGCCCCAGAGTGCATGGAAATAAGTGCTTCTCAAACTTCTCACACCCGGCATCCAATCTGATCTCGGAATCATCTCACACAGGCAGCAAGGCCAGAGGTGGCCAGTAGCCCGCTTGTGACCCGGACACACACAGGCGATCCTCCGAAGCTCACCTTCCCGTTCTTGCCCCCAGACCTGCTGGGCTTGTGCCCAGGACGAAACTCAGTTGCTTTTGGACAGTGTAGACAAAGACTCCGGGACCCGTACCACCAGAGCTCGGAGGCAGAAGTGGGGGGAAGGCTGGTGCCGGGGAGGCGCAGCCTGCTTTTGATTAAACAGCCATCATTTACTTCCGGCAGGAACAGCGCTGGGGAAGGCGGAGTGGTCGCGGGACCGCGGGCTGGCGTGGGAGCCGCCGGTCCTGGCGGCCCAGAGAATCACCCTGCACTTCTGTCGCCTCGACTCCGTGTGATGGTCCCGGCCAGGCAGGGGGACCTCATTAAATCCCCGCGCTGCTCCTCTGGAGGCAGATCTGTCGCAAGGTTTCCTCTTCCCGCAGGAAAATGCCCATCTCTAGCCCTTCAGACTCAGAATCCTTAGGAACCTTTTCCCGGGACAAAATCAGGATGGGACACGGCTTCCAGAGCTACCCCAGGTCTGAGTTGACTTACATTCCATTAGAGAGGCTCCAGTTAGAACTGAAGTCTCCAGGGTTACAGCCTTCTTCTTCCTCTTTTCCTAGCTCCGCCAGGGAGCTTTCCAGAGCAGTAGGTATGTGGTTCAAGGCTTTCTTCCACCTGCGGGACAGTGGTAGCTGTCGTATCAGGGCTTAACTGTGGCTTTGAGGATCCTCCCAGCATGGGGATGAGACGTGGGTGTTTGAAATCATTCATGTTCTACAGATGAGAAAAAGGAGGCTCACAGCAGCTCATGAGTTAAGTTTTCCTGAAATCCGTACCACTGTGGTAGAAACGGGGTGCAGAATTGGGACCCTAGAATGCATGCCCCAAAGTGTTGTGTAAGGACGTAATTCTACGGGCACAGGGAGCTCGCCCGTCGCCCCCACTGCAGAAGGGTGCTGACACAGGGGAAATCGGCCATGGCGTCTCAGGCTGGGGTCACCCTGGAGGGAAGGTCCCAGTTTCTTCATCATTGAAAGTGAAACTGAACTTTATTGTCCACCACTAGGGGGTGCTCTTCAGAGGGTGAACTCTGGGGGGTCCTACATCCACAGCTTTTTGTAATTCAAGGTATGCTCAAAGAAGCTTTGGTACCACCTTTTTACGGAGGTGTGGCCGTCTGGACAGATGCGTCGTCGGTTCTCAGCCTCACCTCGGGGTAGCCACCAGATCCTGGAGGGACCCAAGGGCACACTAGGGCCAGAAGCCCAGCCACCAGGCAGAGGCGTTGCGCTTCTCAGCCAAGGTTCTCAAATATACCGAGCTCAGAATCAATAAGGGGCCCAGTGTGGGTTCTCGTCCTTACTCATAAGCTACAAGCGTCTGACTTCTCAAAGTCCACGGAAAGCTTATCACCAAGCTTATGAGTATTTCTTTTTAACACCCACTTTGGTTTGGAATAGCTTCAGGTTTATAGAAGGGATACCAACAGAATACAGAGAATCCCCCCGCCCCATGCTTTTCACCCAGCTTCCCCTAATGTCTCGGGTTCCCATGCGTACGTTGGTCAGAATTAAAATGAACACTGGAGCGTCACTATCCATGGATCGCTGGAACTCAGAGCCCGGAGTGTTTCCACTATAGTCTTTTCCCTGTCCCAGGATCCAATCCAAGGTACCACACTGCATTTAGATTTTTTTTAAAACAACCTCCAACGACACTTCCTAAATAAGCCAAATCACACAAAAAGAAAAAAAAGTGCCCTGTGATTCTGGTCCATAGTCCTCCAAACCTGCACCATCCAATATGGCGCCCACTCACCAGTGAGACGATTTCAGTGAATGGAAATTAAAGAACATTCACGTTCCTCAGGCAGACACTGCACTCTGGTGCTCAGTGGAGTATGTCAGCACACTGGCTGGGGCTCAGGGCAGCCAGAGATACAGTACACACCGCCGTTATCAAGCAATGCTCTAGTGAGCAGACTGTTCCGGATCTCTTCCATGTATTTTCCTACAAACATACCTAAATACATACCTCTAGTTTTTTTTTTTGTTTTGTTTTTACACGAAGACCATAGACTATTGCATATCACATAGCATCTCTACCTGCTTTTGGAGATCATTTCCACATTGCAGCAACCATCAGAGACGAGGCCGATTAACACGTACCAGAGTGGTCCATAGTGTAGACTGCCATTTTAGGGGCCATCCCCTCTCGATGGGCACTTAGGTTGTTCCCGATTTCCTATTGCAAAGAAGGCCTCAGAGAACATCTTTGTTCCTTCTGAGAGTGCCCGAGGCCGACTTAATTCAGGGCACAAGGACTTTGGCCAGTGGGATAACTCCCACTGAAAAGATCTTCCTGTACCATCAGGGCTGTGCGTCAGGCCATGACTGGGCTCAGGGAGATGGACGCAGACCAGACTCCTGGCCCCGCTGCAATGTGGGCACGTGGCCAGGATGTCCCAGGGGGCGGGAGTGTTTCAGGCTGCCATTGAGAGGTGTGAGAGACACCACCCAGCTGTGCCCAGATCCAAACAATGCGACAACCAGACTAGAAAACCACATCCAGCCAGTATCTCAGGATTGGAGTTATGTGGTTTGATTGGCAAATACCAGCTACACAGTAAGAAGTTACCAGTAGTTGGTTCTAAGGAGGTAGTTATATACCAGCAGAGCACAAGCACTTTAATACCATTTAATCTATCACGGCTCCATTAGGTAGGTTTCCTGTTCATTTTTAGAGATGGGGAAGTGGAGGTGGAGGGAGGGTTGGGGGAATGTCACAGTTGTTTCTATAATTCTGGTAAGTGGCTCAACGGGGGACACAAACCCAACATCGAGCCTGCAGTCCTAGAAAATTCCCTGTGGGAACCAACCTCTTAGGTTACTCACTGATTCGTAGTAATATACCAAGGCTAACTGCTTAGTTCTAAGTTCCAGACCTCGCTGAAATTTTTAGCAGTTTCCCCTTCTGCCCTCGGGAACGGAGCTGTGCCCTCCAGCCCAGGCCTGTCTGAGGCCAGACTTTGACCAGACCTTGAACTGGTCAGCTCACCTGGGGGGGTTGTGTGCGTGAGTTCCTAGTCTCTTTTGCTAACATGTGCAAGTAGGGGCTCAAAATTAAAGGTTTCAGGAACTAGAAAAGGCTTCTGGGTAGTGACATTAGAATCAGGCCTCAAGTGGGGGGGCGGGGGGCGCCTGGTGGCTCAGTTGGTCAAGCATCCGACTTCCGCTCAGGTTATGATCTTGCGGTCCGGGAGTTCAAACCCATATCAGGCTCTATGCTGTCAGTTCAGAGCCTGGAGCCTGTTTCGGATTCTGTGTTTCCCTCGCCCTCTGCCCCTCCCCTGCTCATGCTCCGTCTCTCAAAAAAAAAAAAAAAGAACATTAAAAAAATCAAAAAAAATTAGGCCTTAAGGACTGGGGGACTGGGCAGACTTTGGGGGGTGGGGTATGGGAATTCCCACCAGTATTGAGCAGAGACCTCCTATGGGCCCATGTCCCCAGCCCTCTCTCCCCCAAACAGCACAGCTTTCGGCACAGAGAAACGTCTTACTTCATGATTGAGGAATCCCAGGCCTCAAGACTTTGGATGCCCGGTCTGTTGTCCTGATCAAACTCAGCCGGCAATCCATCCATGTGGCTCAAATGTGGGGTCTGCTCATCCTCTGAAGCACGTTTGCTCTTGCTGGCTGCACTGCACATGTGGGAGGGCCCCTCCACGTCCAACCCAGAGACCCCAAACCCAGATGGATCTTTGAGATAGCCAAAGGCCACAGGGCCCACCTGTAAGGCCTCTGTCCCAGCTGCCTCACGGCCGTCGTCATAGGGAAAGAAGGATTTGACTGTGGTTTCAATTCTTCCCCCTCATTCATCACAGAGGGCCTCTAGCAGCGCATGCCAGCCGAAGATGGCCTGCTAGAAATGGGGTAAGGTTACATCAGAAGCCCCCAGGATGCTTTCAAAGCATCCAGAGGCCCGGGCTCCACCCCAGACCCACTGAAGTCGGTCCCCTGGCCTCTGGAGTTTTACAATCTCGTCAGTGTCTGAGCCAAAGCCAGTCTGAGCCATGATCTTGAGTGGATTTCCTGGCCTTTTATAGGAATGTTTGTGGAGAGAGGCGTCCTTAAGCTCTTAGGGACTGAACTCAGATGGTACAGCCATCTCGCTTTTGGCATCACACCGAGGGGGTTACTATTGGGGGCAAAGCAGGTCCCATCCCTTACTAGGTGGATGGAAAGCGACACATCCCATAGCAAACAGACAAGGATGATTCGATACTTTGCCAAGTGCACAGTGAATAACTAGAGATACGCACACTTAGCTTCCACAGGACACTTCTGTATACACACTGTCTCCAAATGTACACGCTGCCTTCATTCCAGCACCGCTTGCTTCTGGGCACGCATGCAGAGCCTCTTGCATTCAGAACACTCAGGCCCTGAACACTGCATTCGTGAATTTTCTGGATTTTGAAAACCTGACCTTTCGTCGGTCAGTTGTATTTGCTTATGATACCTCGGTACCTAAACTTTCTCTCACATTAGAGTATCCCCCCTCCCCCGACCAAAGCAACATGCATTTTGAAAATAATTAGTCCCCTCTTGATTACAATTCACCAGTTCTACAACCCAGAAGAATTCACTGCTATCTTGGCATGCAGCTTTGTGGAATTAGCTGGGGGGAAGGGGGGAGGGACATTGCTTCGGGGACATTGGGCAATTCCTGAGGACATTTTTAGTGGTCACACCTGGAAGGGTCTGTAGGCATTGGCAGGTAGGGGTCAGAGAGGCTCCTAAACATCATGGACAACACTCAGAACAGCCCCCACCCCCACCCCACTCCAGTGAATGATCCATCTCTGGGGATCAGTAATGTCGAAGTGGAGAAACCTTATTCTAGATCTATTCTGTGTATGCACACGCCTTGTATGCACACGCACACACACCCACACAGGGGCATATTGTAACGGTCTTGAACTGTTGCAATTTTGTGCCTAGAGGACATCTATGCATCATTGTTGCCTGCATATGCATATATCGTAAAGCATTTGGAAAAAAATCATGGAAACCATCTCCCACCGATCACCTACGTCTTCGCCCATTTATCTGAGGATTTCTCAACTCCTGTCATCCAAGCTATTGCAGATGGGTCTCTTGTATCAAAGAGGAGACTCCAGAGCGGCCAGCTCAGGTGGTCAGAGCCATACCGTGTGGTTGCCTGCCTACAGGCTCGCTGAGACCTTTGTGAATCCTTTCGCCTTGGAGGACTCTCTCTCCAAGGGCCGGGCCTGTGCGCAGAGCTCTGGTACAGAGCCGCTCTGCGGGTCTTCGGCCTGGAAGCACGCATGAGTCATGGCTTTGAAATCCACCTCAGATGCCAGCTGAAAACAGAGGCTTTGCATAATCAGGTTGACAGATGACGGCGGGCCTGCCCTGCTAGGGACAGGCCCATCCATATCCCGGGTTAAAAGAAATATTGCGTTTTTCAAGAGGAAAGAAACATATTTAAGAGATAAAGGGAGGGAGGAAAAAAAAAGAGGTTTTCGGCCATTAATTATAATAAAACACAGGGGGAAAAATTCACTTTAAAGGCACGCTAAAGCCCTGTAATCTTCAAAGAGATAGGGAGGCTCAGATGCCCGGGAGGAGAGAAACGTCACCAGGAGACGGCCATCTCCAAACAGTGCAAACAGCCAAAGTGAGGGCTGGGAACTGGTTACATCGCCGCCTGAGGTCAACCCTTGCCCCCCGAGGGGCTGCTCCGAGCAGAGCATGTGCAGTGGTGCGGTGGTTTCCAAACCGACCCCAGGATCCTAATGCCTGAATGTCCACCA